GTGTAAGTACAAAACAGATGTTACGACTTACTGCCCTCCTTCCCACCTTGGCCTCCCTCCCCCGTCTCGTGTTACTTTCGATTTTCTCGTGTTTCTCGCGCGCGGAAGCCGGCCGATATCGTCTGTCTGTCTGTCCATCCATCCATCCATCCATCCATCCATCCATCTATCCGTTCTTGCCGCAACTTATCCGCATTTGTTGCACGCGCAGCGAAATTTTCATCCGGTCAATCTGACTTTACGCACGAGCGACGCAACGCCGTGGACGCGCGAGTCGCGTCGCGAGCGGAGAATGTTCCCTCCCTCTGTTGTTTCCCTCTTGCTTCTTTCTTCGTGTTGCCTTCCCGTTCCGCTGGATGATTAAGCGCTTCGGGAGGTGCGAGCAGGTTCCTCTTTTATCTCCTCGCGCGCGCCACTCGCGGCTCAGGTCGCCAATCCGGCGTGCAGGCCGAGCTTCTCCGGCCGGAAAATCGATCTCGACTTCTTCGCGGGACGGACGAGAATCCTCGATCGCGATTCCTGTACAAAACCGCGAGATGCGACGGTAGGGGTGAACGGACACTACGCAATCTTTTTCGTTTCTCATCAATCGCGCAAAGAGCCAAAGAGACTTTACGTTACGTTGCGTTGTATTATGTGTATTATCTGATTTGCTTTTCCTTTTCTCCTCTTTTTTTTTTTTTTTTCTCTACATTCACCACTTTTCTTCCTTAGCGTGATAGCGTGTACATGTACGCCCGACGAGTGCTTTAATTAATTTTTATTATTATTAACTTCTCCCCCGGACACAGGCGAGAGCGACACACACGTTGCACTTCCGAGCGGGACTGGGCCGACAATTCGGGGTGACCATCAATTTTCTCTCCTCGTGCTTCGCATCGAGCGACGCGAGCATCCTCCGTCACCCGCGCCGAAGGTCGGCCGGAACGTGGCGTTTCACCCGGCGAATTCGCCCGGTGCGTTCGTTTCCCCGCTGTTGACATCTCCGGGAATGATCATTGATCGTCGCGGCGCGACGTAACGGCATCAATTAATCGCGTCGCGATTGAAATACTCACTCTCTTCGTCCGATGCATAATGCACGCCGCGTTAAGCGTTCCTGCGTGCTTTTTCGTCGCCCCAGCCACCCCCCCCCCCTTTGGTCGCGTCAATCGCGCTCGGGAGGCGCAATGTGTACAAATGTGCCGGCCGCAATCTCCATTAGCAATACGATCCCGATCGGTCACAGCTTGAGCAATATATATATTTGCAATATTATTATTATTATTACTATTACCATTATTATTATTATCATGATGTACATTATCGTTTGTAAGTGATCGCACATCCGTGCAAGACAATTATTATGGCAATATGATGATTACACTATTATTATTATTACTAATATATTATTATTATTATTATTGCGTTATTTATAGCTCATTTGCGTACTTATTACGTTAAGCGAATGTAGCGGCGTTTATTTTGTGTTTTCCATAGAACGATAATGCGCACGTCTTGCCGACGTTATTACATTTTATCAAATATCTGCCATGTAATAGCTACACACACACACACACACACACACATACATTAGTCCGACATCCTTCCCTCCCGTCGTTCTTACATCTCTTGTTCTCTTTTCCTTCTTTTCTCTCGTCCTCTCTTCTCCTGTTATTCCTTCACCCCCACCTCGATTCCTCATCACGCACTCCGGATGCTGCAGCGACCTGTTTTTTTTTCCTCCCTCCGCTACTTTATCCGACGGACACAATTAGCGATACGTCGATATATTGGAAATTACGCTGCCGCGCATCTCGCTCCTGCGTGTGACGTGTGCGACGCGTAGGTTTGATTTTGCGCGAGACTCGCCGGGATAAAACGGGAGATAATCCCCGCGCGATCGACGCCGCGTCAGCGCGACGTGGAAATGTGGAGCGGGCGACACCTTGCGAGAGCCGCGCACGCATCGACGCACTATTTAGCTCGCTATTTAGCGCACGACCGAGGGACGCGCAGGGCTGATCGAAGGAAACGCGACGAGACGCGACGCGATGCAGCAAATCGCGACCCGGAGGATGACGATCGTCGCGAGCGAGTCGTCGTGCAAAGTTAAAGGACCTCGCGATTTCCGACGTCATCAGAAAGACGGCAAATTTATCCTTTCCCCTTCCTGGTCCCGCCGCGGTATTTATCGCAGCGTCGCGCTAATAATCGATCATTGTGAGTCGCTCGATGTAGAGAGAAAGAGAGAAAGAGCGAGATACGTTGCGAGATTCTTTATACAAACGCATTACCGCGCGAAATTTTCCGTTCGATCCCGAAGAAAGAGACGCGCGGTGGAGCGCGCAGATGGAACTTCGATCGAGATCGTCGTCCGTGCGCGCACAAAAAAATACAGGCGTCACATTGTTCAGGTACTTCGTTTGTACGCCCGAAGTAGAGCACATTACGAGAATCTCTGTCAGCGAGTCCGAGTTCACTCGAACGAAGAATATCAAATTGAACGAAAAATTCCTTCATCCTCTACGTCGCGAGAGTATAAGTTTCAAAGGTCGCAAGCTGATATTCTTGAGGAGAGAACAAATCGTTCTGTCGACTTCCACGCGACGCGACAATGAGTCCCTCCGATAATTTGTGCGACGAGTGTACGCCTATTGTCGAGAAGACAACGATCTCGCCGAAGAGGACGATCGGCAGAATCGCTTCTCCTTCGCAGCAGAACGATCTTTTTCTCCGCGTAGCGAAGTTACATCGCCGCCGCCGCCGCTTCCACACTCGCGCGTCGACTCGGAGTCGAGTGACGCGGCGCTCAGCTACTTCCCGATGAAAGAGCAATTAATCGGATTAACGGATCGCGGGGGAGTACCGCGGAGAGAGGGGGACCCGACGGATTCTTTTCTTTTCTTTTTCTTCACGCACTTTCCGTGCACGTGCCTCGGCGAGAGTAAATCCGGGGACTTTCGTTTGTGCCGCATATCGTCTGTCCGAGTCTACACACGTACGCAAGTCTTCTTCTTCTTCTTCTTCTTCTTCTTCTTCTTCTTCTTCTTCTATCTCGTGATCGTGCGAACGCGACGCGGTTCCTTTGCGCGAGACACTATCGACGATGATTTTTCAGGGAAGGCTTATTAAGCGACGCGAGGATCGATTTGTGTGAACATAATGTAAAACGTTCCTCGAGGTGCGCGACGCCCGGGCCCCGCAGCCAAAATGGAGTTTATTTATAATTTTTATCGCTTCGATCGGTGGCCTGTACTTTCATTCCCTGCTTGACCCGGGATAGTCTCACCTCGACGTTATCCGACTGATCTCCGTCGAAACGTTCGCATAGACCGTTTGACGGAGATCCAGTGTGTATCCATTTCGAGAGAGAGAGAGAGAGAGAGAGAGAGAGAGAGAGAGAGGGAGAAAGAGAGAGAACAAATAAAATAGATTACTTCATATAGCACACAGTTGAGCAAACTGTAATGAAAGCAATGAAAGAAAATAATGCTATTTTTATATGTTGCACTTCATCATCCGCCGTAAAAACCCGTAGTTATTAAAAAGAGAGGAAAAACGATCTATTTCAGTTCTCGACTCGTATCCATTGGGCCATTTCGTGTCGTGTCACCGAGAGATCTTCGCCGAAAAGCATACAACACCCATACACTTTGTAACCAACGATTCGACGGTGCTGCGTTTAAATCAAATTCTTGCATTGCTCCACGTGAAAATGCGCACAAGTCGTGTGAGATTCGCCCGAGAAAAAAGAAAAGAGAAAAAAGAAAAATCCGCGAACGTCACTCAGTTTCAGTTGATGAGGGGAATTGAAAATCCAGTTAATGAGGAAAATTGAGTATTCAGTCGACGAGAGAAATCCCTGACGAGACGTGCGCTCACCCCCGGGTGAGTTTTTGTCTCACTCATACAAATTCTAACGTGTAAACGCCCACGTGAGCGGGTAATCACTGGCGAACGGACAGCGTAGTGGCGTTGACGGGAAAGAGAAGAAAAAAAAAAGAGAAAAGAAAAAGAGAAATTCCAACACACCAGCGTGCGTTCGCACGTGACAAACATAATCACACTCGTACAATCTGACAAGAAATGACCCAATAACATTACTGTCATAATATTTAGCAGCTTAGAACAATCGAATCGATGAAGAAAATATCTCGGAACGACGATCCAAGAGATGCTCTTGCTCACAGTTAATCTAGATTACTATAGTAAGATTTACTATTATTGTATTATTACTAATATATCTACATTCCTTTTCAGAATCTACCACTATTACTTTACGAAGCTATCTGTAAATAAGTATTTTGTATTCCTGCAAAAAAAAAAATAAAATTAAGAATCATTATAACTCGTCTGATATTTTTACCGCCGATATATAAGTATATTACCGCGTAGAGAACTAATGAAAGTGATACCTTATAAAATAATCAGACTTGTAGATAAAACATGTGCTTTTTTATTAAAACTTAAATAAATTCAAGTTTTTTGAACAATCCGTCGTGTATGTGTGTGTGTGTGTGTGTGTATGTTGCACTGGATGCTTCATTCGAGGGACTACCGCAGCTGGAGTAGCGGCGGAAATTCCCGGAGTGAGAAACTCTCGCGAATGCGCGAATGTCGAAACTGGCTGGGTGTAAAGATACTCGAGGCACCCCGGCGCGAAGTTTCAGCTGCCGGCGGAGAAATCAATTCCGGATCGTCGAAGAGGTCGCCCGCGGCCGCGGCTTTGTGACGCGGCTTGCTATCGACAATCCCCGAACGTCCGACAAACAGCCGAGCGTTCTTTTTTCTCGCGCGCGAGAAGCGCGCGTGTGCTGCGCCTTCGAAATTAATTGCACATACATCGAGCGTATTTATGTTGCATGAATGCCAAATATTTCATATTTGTAACATCACGCGCGCACACACAGGTTGCGCTGATTAAATAGAACTCTCCGACCAGAAACTCCACCTGAAAACCGGTAAATACCAATGTTTCGTCTGTGGAAACATTAATTTGGCGACGCGTGTCAATTTAGCCGGACACTCTTCTTCCGCTGATCCTTCGATCAGTTTCGCACGCGTTCCGTTCTCGAGTTCCGTCTTCACCGCAATGCTTCAATGCGCGCCCCAATGACGCCTGCCAAAATATCAGAGACACTCGTTGCACCTGTCAAGTCGTTCTTTATTTCTCATACTTATATGTACAAAAAAGAACCCTCGGGGAAACTCGAAGCGAGTCTCATCCGGGTATACGCGACATGCGTGTACAGCTAATTTTTATAATGACTAATTATATCTACCAAGACCTTCACGTTAACCGCGAAGAACAACAGGCTCGACAACCAAAGCAAGCTGAACGAATTGAGGCTGCGGAACTCCAACAGGTAAGCCGCCAGTAGCCAAACGGCTTGACTCGCGATCCAAATGCACGTCAGACATACGCATCTGCGCAGATTCATGCCGATGCTTGGCAAGCACAGCGGTAACAAGGACAAGAACCAGAAGAAGTACTGAGAAGTCAAGACCGGATTGTATATCACTGCAATTATTGCCTGGACAAACATGGCGAACGGTAAGTCCGACCTCTTCGAGTAGTAGTACGACGTGATCAGCAGCAGCAGCAATTGCGGCAAGAAGGTGAGGACCTTCTGCAGCATGTCGGGTGGTTGATCGGCGGACAGATAGAGCATGTAGAAGTAGACCGAGAAGTTGTGCCTGGCGTCTTTGCGCGCTAGATGGTACAATAGGCTCTCCTGTAGAAATTTGAAGCCGTACAGGTGGTAACTGGTGGCGGTGAGCGCGGTGATCGACAGCGCGCAACTTGATGCGAATTTCCACTGGCTACTGTTCGGCAAGAAGCGACGACCTTTGCTCAAGGACAAGTACATCGGTAAGCTGAACATCAGCGGGTACAGTCTGAAGTGCACAGACACCCCGTGCAACAGTCCAGCAGATACGAACTGGTCCCTCTGCAGCTGGTCCAACGTAACAGTGACTAAGAGCACCGCCAAGGAGTCCGCGTTGCCCCTCGTCGAGATCACCAACGTCATCGGATTGTAGAGCCATAGCAACGCACAAAAGTCCCTCGTGGTCGCGCTACATTTTTGTTGCGCGAGAATGTTCCTGATCGAGATCGCTATGAGTATATCCGCCGCGGAGAACAACAGCTTGCCAAAGTTTTTGTACAATATAATATTCGGCGTCAACAACCAGGCCAAGAACGGTGAATAGCGATAAGTGTGACGCTCGAAAGGCGACCGGCCCTTCACCACGTGTCTGGCGGCATCGGTGAATACTCTGTAGTCGACGTCCGTGTACGGCACGCTGAAGAGCTCGTCATGAACCTCGGCGTACAGTATCAGGAGCAGTCGTATGATAAACGCCGACAAACAATGCGACGTGAATGACGAATCGCTTATCTTGCGACGTATCGTCTCTATAGTTTTCATTTTGCTGTAGGATTATGGGTGGTGGTGTTTGAACGACAATACATGTGCGTCTACGGATCTATATAACGTTTGACCACTTATAGTCTTGTGTTACCGCTCGCGGCAACTCTCACGAGACATTTCTTGAACTCGTTGAACTCTGCGGCACAAGCGTTCTTCTCCAGATTGGATTTTGCCAAGACGCATGATGCATATTTTGATGCTGACTCGTGACATTTGGCTATCAGAGTGGGATACCGTCTTAATCTTTCCTTAGCCTTTCTGACAGCCTCCATTACTGTCGTGCAAACGAATTCGATTTAAGCTTTATTAGGAGCCTGTATTTTTTTTTCTTGTCTTTTATCACCTACCACAAATATATCATATAATGGTTTACTGAATACTACACTCAAAGCACACAGTAGACCTGTGACGATAAAGAAACGTGGATAACGTTGTGATAAAGATTTCTTCTTCCCTAACACTTCATTTGTGTACCTCATTTTTTATCTTAAAGCTTTCCGCTGAAACAAAATATATTCCAATTGTAACAATCTTGAAATTATAGCAATTTTATAGTTATTTTATAGTTATAGAAGAAGAATTGTATGCAATTTTGCTAAAAAAATATGAGCATATCTCAAATAGAGCAAATATTAAACTTACAAAATCAATAGTATTATGTTGATATTGTCTAGTAATATCTATGCCGTCACAAACTAAAGAGTCTCTAGTATGTTTTTTACAACATATTCTTAATTCCTCAATAACACTTTGACAATGAGATGGCTGGTAAATATTATCTGAAAACAGAACGTTTTATCCCTCATTGTATCATTATATAATCATTATATATATTCGCAAAAAACAAGAGATTATATTGTAATTAAAAAACTTATCTTTTATACATATTATTACTTTACATCACATATGAGTAAAATTTTAAGTATCATTGTTTTATTTTCTGTAACTTACACATACACTTTTAAATACGCACATTGCATCATTTAAGGTAAAAATTTAATTTTTTAATTTTCTATTATAACTTATAGAATTTATAGAAATTTGTTTTTATTTGCTCTATAGAAGAGAGGTTAAAAATATAGATCACGTTTTAGACTTAGCTCTGATAAGTTACATTCACGATAAGATGAATTTAATACAAACCATTTAAGCACTTTTGCAATTTGCATGCAAACTGCTTGCAGGGGTCAACAGTCGTCATAAAGAATCCTCTGTAGATTTAATATATTTTTACGTAAATTTTCCAAGAATCAAACCTCCGGTTCTTCTGCAAGGTTAGTAATGACTTGTAGCGGAGTTTAAAACTAATTTCTAACTCGAGAATCGAACCCTTTTAGCGCAACTTGCACTTAAGGCCTTTTAATGTATAAGATCCAGCGTTACCAGATCGTGAGATTTTTTATCAGCTGATATTCAACAGCGCATGCGCTAGCTAGTGTCACAATCCTCACATGGGTAGCTTTGTCAGTATCGTGTTTAGATGCAACAATAGGCGCTTATGTGAGGTCTATACGAAAACCTGAACAACACGTATTGCATATGCGTATGCAATGTATTATCATATTATATATTAAAACAAGAAACACTCACAAATAATACACGAGCATTGTGCTATCAATAGTCGATTCTTAAAGGTCTTCATCATCGCTGAACGTAAAACTATTACTTATTGTATGGTAATGAAGTAAAATAGCTTGTATTGTAACTAGACAGCATTAACTTAAAAAACGATGCATAAGAAACCTGTAATACGTTTTTTTATACACTTTTGTTATACATCTCTCATTATCCTATACACATTTTTCAATATATCTCATTCTTTTCTTCGAAGGGCCTTAGCGATACCTTATATTCCAACGAAATACGTACGCGACTGGGAATGAGCAGAGTAGCGCTTATTGCGCATGTGCGAAAAAATCTCACGATCTGGTAACGCTAATAAGACCCGTTATTTATATCAGAGTTAATACTTAATACTTATACCTTTTATTTAAATTATATTCGAGAGAGAAAGAGAGAGAGAGAGAGAGAGAGAGAAAGAGAGAAGTACACATTTAGGTCTTCGTATTCTCCATACGTTGGCGCCATGTGAGATGTTTCTCTTGTCACTTCACGTAATTACAAAACGTTTTGTTTTAGATTCATTGGGTGCATTCAGTGGTTGCGTTCAGAAAACAAAGCGCTCACTGAGCGCTTAGTAACTATTGGTCCTTACTGTTAAATCCTTACATTCAGACCAATAACGTTGACGAATTACTCAACCGTTGTGTAACCGTTGTGTTTACTGAACGCAGCCAGTACTACAACCGCTCACTGAGCGCTCAATGAGCTTTTATATTTGATTGGTATATTCTTTTAGATTTAAAAATATATACCAATCAGATGCAAGAGCTCACTTAGCACTCAGTGAGCGGTTGTAGTACTGAATGCACCCAGTGGGTGCGTTCAGCGGAGAAAACCGCTCAGTGAGCAATTAGTGACTATTGGTCCTTACTGTTAGATCCTTACATTCAGACCAATAACGTTGACGAATTACTCAACAGTTGCGGAACTGTTGAGTGTCGTGAACCCAATGGCTGTGTTCAGTAGAACAAAATGATCAGTGAGCGCTTAGTGATTATTGTCTGTGATTGGAGCATTCTTTTAGTTTCTTCATAAACCCAGAAGTATTTACCAATCAGGAACGAGAATCACTAAGCGCTCATTGATCACTTTGGCTGCATTCAGCAGACTCAACAGTTGGACAACATTACTAGATTTTCCACCGAATCTTGCTCCTGATTGGTAAATACTTCTGGGTCTATGAAGAATCTAAAAGAATGCTTCAATCACAGACAATAATCACTAAGCGCTCACTGATCATTTTGTTCTATTGAACGCAGCCTTTGTTCTGCTGAATGCAGCCATTGAAAGCTAAACTATTGGGGACTTGAATAAGTTCTCGCTGTTTCCCGACAGATGGTGTTATCTTAGCCTTTTTGCATCGGGCAATACTACAGTCAACTTTATCGTGAAGCTCCATTAGGCTCGAAACGAGTAACTACGCATTTTTTTTATCGTGGGGACTGCGTGCGCGTTGTCCCTGTTTTTCTTTCTACTTCATACTACTGGGAAATGGCGTATGGACATTGCTGAATACAGTCCAGAGCCATATATCGAATTTAACTGAACTGAAGGCTCGAAATGACAGTATATGTTATTTCGCCGAAGCGTGAACAACATATTTTTTCATAGCGTTAACATGTCGAATTTCGTACCGAAAAAAGAGTATTTGCGGAGAATTTTACTGCATTACTTTTTTCAAAAAAAATCTGCAGTTGAAGCACATAGAATTCTTGTGGAGACTTACGGCGACCATGCTCTGTCGGAAACAACATGCAGAGATTGGTTTAGACGCTTTAAAAATAATGATTTTGATGTTGAAGATAAAGAACGCTCTGGCGCACCGAAAAAGTTTGAAGACGGAGAATTGGAAGCATTACTCGATGAAGACCCATGTCAGACGCAAAATGAACTTGCTGAAACATTAGGAGTTGATCACACAACAGTTGCCAAACGTTTAAAAGCATTAGGAATGATTCAAAAGCAAGGAAATTGGGTGCCGTACGAATTGAAGCCGAAAGCCGTCGAACGGCGAAGGAAAAACGGCCGCAATACGAGGAGAGACACGACAAAGTAATTTTGCAGCATGACAACGCCCGGTCACATGTTGCAAAATCACTGGTCAAAACCTACTTGAAAACGCTCAAATGGGAAATCCTACCCCACCCGCCGTATTCACCGGACATTGCTTCTTCCGATTACCACTCGTTCCGATTGATGACTCATGACCTGGCTGAGCAGCACTTCCATTCTTATGAAGATACCAAAAAATGGGTCGATTCGTGGATAACTTCAAAAGATGAGTCGTTCTTTCGACATGGTATTCGTATGCTGCCAGAAAGATGGGAGAAAGTAGCGGCTAGCGATGGACAATACCTTCAATGACATGTTCTTTACTAATTTTTTTAAATAAAGCATTCATTTTCACGAAAAAACAGCGAGAACTTATTCAAGTCCCCAATATTTCTATGACAAATGCAACGGCAGTCCGAATATATAGGGCAGCGATTCCCGAAAGATTCGACAAACAAAGTTATCTTGTAGGCAATAACAGTTTTCAGATACAGTAAAAATGCTAAAGCTGCGTTGTTGGATCGAAAGACGAAGCCACGCATATATACACACTATATGCAGTCTTCTGTACAACTTATAGAAAATCGTTAGTAGATAATCAGATGACATTTGTGTAAAAATAAATAACTGTCTGTTTTGAAATATATGTATTAAAAGCATCATGATTCTTCAATATCAGTAACAATGTTTCTTATCTTGACAGATGTTGAATGTGGTATTTTCTCTTTACATTGGCCAAGTTTTACTAAATAATTACAAGAATATGCTTTAAATGGAAACATTATTTCTACAATTTCTTCTATGTCAGAGGATTCAATTACCTCTAACCAGTATATATTTGTGACCGATTGAAGTTCGATCAATAATACAGTTGATGTTTGTGGCTTACTACATGTTAAACAGTTATCTAGAACTAGTATATACAAATATATTAGCACAAATGGTATATCATCAGTTAATAGAAATTATTGTAAATTATTTACAATTTAAGATTGAATTATATACCTTTGTCAATGTTGCAGGTTACATGTGCCAAAGAACGTTGCACTTCCAATGGAACTTTGATATTAGAAATACGCCATGTATCCATGATATCTATGATAGTCATTTCAATAAGAGAGATATCTTCCTCTGAAAAACATGCGCATCTCATATATGGTGTCAATAATCTGGTCATAACATTTGTCCATTTTGATTTATCATGAAATGTTAAGTTTATGGAAGATATTTTCTTCGCAATTTTAAATATATACAACCATTTTTCCATAATCTTCAGATCACTGAAGGAATGAACATCTTGCTCTTTTATAATCTCCAGGAAACACTCTAACATTCCAGGTACTAAAGTATCTGGTGAAGTTTGGAAAACTTCTACCAATATATAGGTGGCTTCAAACTCTGCCCAAGCCATATAGTAAAGCAAAGATATTGTTTCTATTAATAAGTTATCTGCAATAAGAATTTCTAAAATTACATAAATTGCACAAAAATAATTATTTTATATATATAGATGATAAACTCACTATAAAATGAACTTTTTAATATAAAAATTATACATTCTCCAAGATATTCACAATTTTTTATGTGATGATACCAAATTGTTTTAGAATTGTTATTGATTCTCCGTACAACAAGTTGCAGAAATCTGATAATTTGAATTAATACCCATAAGTCATAGGATTTTAAGAATCCAAAAATTTTTTCTACAATATTTGTTTTTTCAGCTATCAGATCAATTACTATTTCATCATGGCATAAATTGGCAAGAATACCTATAGTAATTTCCTAAAAAAATATATTGTTAAATGTTAATATAACTCTCAATATTCTGTACTGTCAAAATATAATTTCTTTGGAATAATTGAAAATATAGTAATATATCATACAATAAGGTTAAGAGGTTCATCAAAATAATCTAATAAAGATGTTGCTAGGTTGATGAAGTTATGTAGTATTAGAAAGTTTTTCACATCAGTGTTACTACTAATCTCAAATAGAAGTCTATATTTCTCCTCCAGTTCTCCTGAAAAACCATCTTCGGGTACCTGTGATCAATTATGCTGCATCAATTAGTTTTAATTTGATAGTACCACAAACTTATGTAATATAAACAACTATGAAGTATATCTAAAGATAAATATAAATTTACAAGTATATATACACAATAGAAATCACAATCACAATTAAAATAATATATGGACCATATCTAGATGACTATGCAATCTCTTAACTTGAAACTATATATGCGGCAACATTTCTTTATTTTTCATTTAACAAAATAACCATTAGAAAGAATATGATTGTGAAAAATTACCTTAACTAAACATTTCATGACACCTATTATCCAACGAGCACTGTGAGCACTATTGCCCACAAGATCACTTTGCAGTATTGACAATTCCTCCTGAGTAAGATCTTCCGAATTCATCATAGCGTTTGAACTCATCTCAGACATTTTACTCAAGTCCGTGTTGTTCTTGCATCAGAATTGTAGGTTAGAATATTCATGTAATAACGGCCGTGTTCAGCAGAACAATGGCTGCGTTCAGAAAACACAACGGTTACACAACGGTTGAATAATTCGTCAACGTTATTGGTCTGAATGTAAGGATTGGTCTGAATGTAAGGATCTAACAGTAAGGACCAATAGTTACTAAGCGCTCAGTGAGCGCTTTGTTCTACTGAACGCGGCCAATGTGATCAGTGAGCACTTAGTGATTCTCGCTTCTGATTGGTAAATACTTCTGGGTCTATGAAGAATCTAAAAGAATGCTCCAAACACAGACAATAATCACTAAGCGCTCTCTGATTACTTTGTTCTGCTGAACGCGGCCAATGGTTGCGTTCAGAAAACAAAAGGCCCATCTACAATGGCTGCAAGAATAAAGCCCTAAACACAATGCCAGGCAACAGGCAATAAGAATAAAAATAGAGCAATCACAATCGATTCTTACAAGAATAATCTATTGTGATTGGTCTATTTTTATTCTTATTGCCTGTTGCCTGGTGTTTAGGGCTTCAAGTTCTAAGCGTAAGCAGTAAAGCGTGGTCTACAATGGCCGTAAGCAGTAAGAAGAAAGCGTGAACAGTAAGAAATGGACTAACCACAGTGGATTATTTTTGTCATAATCGACTGTGATTGATTTATTTCTTACCGCTTACGCTTACTTCTTACTGCTTACTGCCATTGTAGACGACGCTTGAGGCTCGTCTACATTAGCTGTAAGAGTAAGGCTGTAAGGTTGCAAGACACGAAATGAAATATTTTCATTTGCTGACAGCGTACGTTACAGCCTTACAGCCTTACTTTTACAGCTAATATAGACGAGCCTTAAGAAATGGGCCAACTACAATCGATTAATATAAGAATAATCAATTACGGTTGGTCCATTTCTTACTACCTACGCTTACAACCTTATTCTTGCAGCCAATGGTTGCGTTCAGAAAACAAAGCGCTCACTGAGCGCTTAATAACTATTGGTCCTTACTGTTAGATCCTTACATTCAGACCAATAACGTTGACGAATTACTCAACCGTTGTGTAACCGTTGTGTTTTCTGAACGCAGCCAATGGGTGCATTCAGTACTACAACCGCTCACTGAATGCTCAATGAACTTTTACATTTGATTGGTATATTCCTTTAGATTTAAAAATATACACCAATCAGATGCAAGAGTTCACTTAGCACTCAGTGAGTGGTTGTAGTACTGAATGCACCCAATGCACCCAATCTTGATCCAAACTTATATTGCTACTCTCAACTTCATTCAAATTGTCTCAATTTGTAGCGTTTCCATCGTCTAAAGCCAGCGGCACACGGTGCTTGTTTTCGTGCTGGGTTGCTTGCTGGATGAAAATACTGCATTCTGATTGGTGTATTTCCATCCATCTTCGGAAATGTACCAATCACAACGCAATATTTTCATCCAGCAAGCAATCCAGCACGAAAACAAACACCGTGTGCCGCTGGCTTTATTAATAGAAACAATATATTTGCTTCACTATATGGCTTGGACAGAGCTTGAAGCCACCTATATATTGGTAGAAGTTTTCAAGATTTACCACTTTAGTACCTGGATTGTTAAACCAGCGGCACACGGTGCTTGTTTTCGTGCTGGATTGCTTGCTGGATGAAAATACTGCGTTCTGATTGGCACATTTCCGAAGATGGATGGAAATGCACCAATCGGAATGCAATATTTTCATCCAGCAAGCAACCCAGCACGAAAACAAGCACCGTGTGCCGCTGGCTTTAGAGTATTTTCTGGAGATTATAAAAAGTAAATGTTGTTCATTCCTCCAGTGATCAGAAGATTATAGAAAAATGGTTGCTCTTATAAACCCAATACTCGATTGACTGTAGATTTTCAGTTTTCTTTATTGTTTCAAAGCTCGCTGTATTTTCTCATGCAATGCTGCGAGATCGGGAGAATTTCCGAGCATGCGCATTGAGTAAACGCTGTGGGAGTCTCAGTGCTGTATTAATTTAAAGGTATTTTAATGCCCGTGTGATACTATGGATTGAAAATTGCAATCGGATAAATCAGGTAATCTAAATCTTGGTCATTTAAGTTGGTCCACTTGTAATTTTCAATATATAGTCTAATATGGGAGTAAGATCCCTCATCTGAAAGAAAATATGAAGGAATTGTAAGGAGAATAGAAAGGATCCTCCATAGATCCTCTGTCATGCGCTTTAAACCGTCAATGGGTTTTGACATTATGTAGCTTACGTCACTTCAGGCATGTACTGTAGCGTGGGAAATTCTCCCAATCTCGCAGCACTGTTCTCACGTTTCCAGTGTTGTAAAGTAAATCTGACAACGATTTCTCTACGTTAGTCTCTTCTATGCAATATCGTTTGTATTGATAGATACATCAATAAACGAAGAATTTAACATGGAAATAAAACTCTTCTCACTGAATTCTTTGTGCACAAGCTAGAATTCATAGGAAAGTCATTGTTAGAAACATATTTATCATATTTATCATATTAGACATGTAAATATATTGATCGTATTGAATTATATATACGTAATATATGTAAAAAGGTATTTACCATTCGTCGATAATATACTATTTTAGTTTTTATAGATATTTATTCAAAATTCGATTCGAATTTTCAATATTTTAATTTGATATAAATTGTATATATATCAAAAAGAATCAACCAATCGCATGTTTAATATATTTAATATAAAAGTAGGCAAGTTTATTTGAAATTGTCAATTGTTGATTGATCGACTTCTTCAGTCCCAGTAGAACCGTACGAATCATAAATGCGGATGAGCCTGAAGTTGATGACGTAGAGAACCGGTGAAAACAAGCATATGTTGCTGCATATCAGTGCAATGGAAGGAGAGTAGAGTTAGAATATGTTCGTTTTTGGATATAATTTTTATCTATCACTTTATAACTGCTAGGTGCATTTTTCTGTCGAAATGATATCACCGGAATGTTTGCTCTGTTACGGGGTACTACTAGCTATATTTGTTCTAATTTTGGTACGTGTTGACATTGTACTGTAAAAATGCAGATGACACATTACATGTCATTGTTTAATATTAATTATCGTTTAATAATAATTGGTTGTAACAATATCAAGCAAATTTCGCATAAATGTAAATACATGTTCCAGCTCTGCGTAATAATATATGTAACGAGCGAACGATATCCTAAAATATGGAGAGATAAGAGTGAGAAATTCTTTCTTAATGTTCAAACAAAAACAAAGGAAGCATTTCCTTCACTGCACGATGCCTGGAGCGTACATCTCAGTGTCATTGTGCCTGCATATAACGAAGAGCATAGATGTAAGATTCATCTTATATATATTGTATATTTATGCCACTTGTATATTTTTCACACAGTTTTATTTTCTGTTTAACAGTACCGCCAATGTTGGATAAATGTTTCCAGTATTTAGAAAACTGTACAAAATCTGGATTCACGTATGAAGTGATAGTAGTCAGTGATGGAAGCACAGATAAAACTATAGATGTTGCGCAGGGTTATGCATTAAAATACAATACTCTGAGAATATTAAATCTTGTCAAAAATAGAGGAAAAGGTGGTGCTGTAAGGCTGGTCAGTAAATCTGTATAGCAAATCTGTATAGTAAATTGAACCTTAATAATTTCAAGTTATTATTACAGTTGTTTTGATTTAAGGGCATGCTGAGTGCAAGAGGCAGTGCTTTGCTATTTGCAGATGCAGATGGTGCCACTAGTTTTAAAGATTTAGAAAAGTTAGATGAAAGTTTGACAAATGTTTTAGGATGTAAGTTGTATTCAATGCTTACAAAATTTGGCATCTTAATATTGTATATTTTTATATATTACATACTCTTAGTAGTAAAGTTTTGTACAAAAATTTTAATATTTTTATCAGTATGCTATATATATTGCTTTTATTTTAGTCAATTACATGGGAGATCCAGAAAAAACAGCATCGTCAGATGCAGTAATATGTGGATCAAGAGCCCATTTAGAGAAAGAAGAGACTGTAAAACGATCATACTTTAGACTATTCCTTATGCATGGATTTCACTTTCTAGTTTGGCTTTTATGTGTAAGAGGAATTAGGGATACACAATGTGGATTTAAGCTTCTAACGAGAAAATCAGCTAGAACATTATTCGAAGCGTTACATATTGAACGCTGGGCCTTTGATGTAGAAATGCTCTATATTGCACAAAGTCTCAACATTCCTATAACTGAAATAGCAGTGAACTGGAAGGAAATCGATGGCTCTAAGATAATACCGTTTTGGAGCTGGCTGCAGATGGGCAAAGATCTAATCTTCATCTGGCTTAGATATAGAATTGGAGCATGGAAGATAAATAAGACCAAAACTGCTTAACATAAACAACACATGAAAAGTCTGCTAAAAAACGATTATCCGAATTGATCTTTTCTCGTCTTTTTGTAAAAATATTTTTACAATAAACTTAGGATTACATTCCTGTGAAGTTTAATCCCAAATTGCGACATATTTTCTATTATTATTTAATTTATGTATTGCTTTAATTTAATTTATATATTATTTAAGGGAGATTAGGTTTTCTTCTAATTTATCTATAAAGAAAACTAAGCTTCTTGAAAAATACGTTTATGGTAAAACTGTTTTCGTCGCAAGGCACAGGATATTTCAAAAATGGCGCACAATAGTAACTGTTCTACACACCTTTGAATTGACGTCACACATCTAACCATAGTCAAGTTACTTACTTTTACGCAACGCAGTAGTAGGGACTAATCAAACCGTGGACAAGTGACGTGTTTCAATATCGTCGCTTCGGGACAATTCAGCGTATAACGATTAGTCATTAGTTGTTCACGCGTTTATCGGTGCAACTTCAAAGTGAAGTATACAGTGTTTTTTCAAGGTATCCGTGGTGTTTTCGCTTATTTCGCGTACGAAGAGTGGAAACATGTCTTTCATTTCGCCTATGCCTAGCCAGCAATTTCTCTGGGATGTGTTCCAAAGGTATATGGACATGTGATTTCTATAAATTGTTTGCGAAATCAAAGCACATTTTTTTATCTCCTAAAATATTTCCGGTCATTTAAAATCATCTTCTCGTGACGAGTATTTTTATTTTTAAAAACTCCATTTGTGCCTTTATTTAGCCTATATAAATCTTATGTTTACTCTTCCAATCTTCCAATAGACATATATGTATACATTTCTTTATGCTCTCATTTATTTCCTTCTTTGCATTGCTGTGTATTATTGAAATTGATATGGAGATCACAATATATAAGAAAGAAATTTAGTCTATAATGTTAACAAATAGTTTGACTGACAGTTATAAATATGGTTTTGTTTATTAGAGTTGACAAAGACAGATCTGGTGCAATCTCTGCAGATGAATTGCAACAAGCTCTTTCAAATGGCACATGGACTCCTTTTAACCCAGAAACTGTTCGTCTAATGATTGGTAAGATAAATATTTTCAAAATATCTTCTCAAATGACCATGTAAATCTAGAACTTATAAACTTTCATCATACATTTATATACAATTAATTATTCTTTGTTGTCCGTTAAGATGCACGTTTATTAATATCCTAAGGAATGAATCATTACCTGGCACTAAATTAGGCCTAGTATCTCACTGGGAGGTGGAAGAAACAATATCCGATATATTATATAAATCCCTCAAAGTTATATACAGCATGTATATGTTCTTAGTTTTCAAAAAATATACTACTGTAATATTATAAGTACTATGTTAATTTGCATGGTCTTTTGATATTGTCATTATTTTGTGTTTCAATTTTGTTGATACAGGTATGTTTGACACTGACAAAAACGATCCTGCTTCTCCAGGTATGTTTGACAAGAAACAAACGGGCACAGTCAGTTTTGAGGAATTTGGAGCACTATGGAAGTATGTTACCGATTGGGAGAATTGTTTCCGATCATTTGATCGCGACAACAGCGGCAACATCGATCGTCACGAATTGAAAACTGCTCTGACAAATTTTGGCTATCGGCTCAGTGATCATACAATCGACATGCTCGTACGAAAGTACGATCGTGCAGGGCACGGTACAATATATTTTGACGACTTCATACAGTGCTGTATAGTTCTATATGTGAGTAACATGCTCATTGGAAATCCTCTTCCTTGTGTTAATATGTTCTTTATTTTCATATATATATCTTTTTACCAAACTGATGGATAATGTTTTTGAAACATATTTGAAATAACTTACTACTTAGATTATAAATTCAAATAATATTTCCTATTTTTAGACTTTAACTTCCGCCTTCAGACGGTTAGATACAGATCTGGATGGTGTTATAACAATCCATTACGAGCAATTTTTGGGCATGGTGTTTAATCTTAAAGTATAAATCATGCACAATATGCTTCCACAAATATTTCCTTATTAGCTGTTGTGGCAACGTGTTTAAGATCTACAGGCATATTGAAGTGCCAAATAAATATAAGAATTATATTACTGTATCTGCAAAAAACTATCAGAATTTTCAATATTAATATTTATATGTACGTCTTGTAGTACAAATGAAATTTGGACAAATTATTAAGTGCTTTACTTGGTGATTATTATTCATTGAAATATATGTTTGTGTTTGCTGAAGTTGCACTTTTTAGTTAGTTATTATTAGAGATTACTTATTAATGGCATTAATGTTCTGTAAGATTAAAAGTTAATGAAACATTCCTCTTATATATTCTTATATATTATTACAATAGTCATTTTCCTCTTATTTCTTAAAAAAGAAAGGACAATGAATGTTTAGCAGAATAGTAATTTTTGAAAATTCTGAAGATTTGGATAACTATGTGATTAACTTACATGGTGAATGTTAAATAATGAACTGTATGTGTCAAATGAGGACAACTACTAAAGCTTATTTGTGAAATGATTGTCACACAGCTTATTAATGTGTCAATTATGATACATCATTTAATATTCATTGTGAAACTCATTATGGAATGTTTGAAAGATATTTTCAAATGCAGCTTTAATGTAAAACTTCCAATTGTATTGTTGTATACAGATTATGTTATTTGATGAAAGAGTTTATCACACAAATGTAAAAATATACCTTGAAATGATCTTACAACATATAAGTTTAAAATTTTCTATATTTCTTCACTATATTATAATTATATATACACACACACACACATATTAATATTTATCAACATATATGTGACATTCATGTAACTCTGTATTTTTCTATCATTATATTAATACTACAAACGACCAAGAAATATACTTCTTTACAAAGCAATCTCATTGCATTTCTTAAAATTGTAACAAATGTATAACAGAATCAAAGTGTTCTATGGAATAAAGGATAAGGATTAAATGATCAATAGATAAATATGATATTTAATTTATTACAACTTTTATGGTGACTTTTACTTTAGAAATAATTTTGACTTTAAGTTTTACAACAGTTCCTAATAATTATTTTTTTTCTTCACGTGTACAACTTGGTGATTTTTGTTGCCTTATCGATGCATTTATATCTTTTTCACAATTGGAATATGCCATACCTAATCCAAAGCCAGCACCGATTATCATAGGCCACTTTCTTCCTGCAAAGTATGAGACGTGCATACATATGTCGTATCAATTCACAAATAATCACATCGATTAAACAATCTGAGAAAATAATACAATTCTTCACAATTTGCTTCACACTTCTACAAGATATTTAATTTAACATAAATGTATATTTATCAGCAATTATATCGTTATTATCCATGAGCAATAACAATCATAAAATTTATTATCGCCAATTGTTAGGTTAGATTGAATGTAAATATTTAACACATTGCTATCGACAATTTACACGGCGACAACCGTTACGATGTAATTTTGATAGTGTCATTGAACCGCTAATAAGATATATCAATAAAGGAATCTTACGTTTGAAGAAAAATAAGGAAAACACTCCACCGAGGGCGACACCGCCACCTGGAAAAAGAATAGATGTTGTCAGTAACGTCTCAGGTGATAGATCGATCGTCGATGATCCTACGGTGAGGATAATTACCCAATTTAAGTATAACATCCGTGAAACAACGGTCCCACTTTTGCCCGACCTCGTCCTCGGTTTTCAAGATGCCGGCCATTTTTCGTGTACAGAGCCGTTACGTCACATACATTCGCACGGCACGTAACGTTTGCCACCGCGTTTCATATCGATCACTAAATTTTTTTTCGTTTCCTCCTGTCTTATATTTGCGCTCGGCGCGATGCGACACGCGAAAAGACCCCGAGACGTGGAAGTAGCCAAGATTTCACTCATCTCCCTCGGAAAGATCGTCAACACCGCAACAAGCACACACTTTCGTAACGCGCGCTCTCTCGATGCGTCATGATTGCCAATAGCGGGCATTTTACGACCGTGTTCCAAAATTCACTGCCCGTACTGAAAATATATAGTTTGTGTCATGCAAACTATTGGTCTGTTCTTTGTAGCTGCACTGTTAAACTGATGCGATAAGTAAAGCCAGCGGCACACGATGCTTGTTTTCGTGCTGGATTGCTTGCTGGATGAAAATACTGCGTTCTGATTGGTACATTTCCGAAGATGAATGGAAACGCATCAATCAGAACGCAGTATTTTCATCCAGCAAGCAATCCAGCACGAAAACAAGCACCGTGTGCCGCTGGCTTTAAAGTGAAACTATTGGTCTGTTCTTTGTAGCTGCACTGCTGAACTGATGCAATAAGCAGCTGGAGTGAGAAAACCTGTATTTGTCTCACTTTAATTTATTGCACCAGTTCAACAGTGCAGCTACAAAGAACAGACCATATATTATAGGTTTTCTCATTCTAACTTATTGCACCAATTCAGCAGTGCAGCTACAAGGAACAGACCATTGGTCTGTTCTTCTCAGCTGCACTGCGGAACTAGTGCAATAAGTTAGAATGAGACAACTATATTTTTTCTCACTTTAACTTATTGCACCAGTTCAGTAGTGCAGCTGAAAAGAACAGACCACATATAACTTTTCAGTGCTGGCAGTGAATTTTGGAATACGGCCTATGTGTGCATCTTCAACTGCCACGCATTGCAATGGCGCGTTATCACGACGAGCAATCAGCTTCTCGTTTCAACCAACACCCCGCGAGCCCAGACGATTGGCTGCCTTGACTGTCCGTCGTCGCGCGCAACGCGTTTCTCTCACGCGCCGAGCCGACACCGTTACAATTTCAGTAAGTGCCATTTTCGGTGTTCGCGAGACTCAACTGACCGCCACGAGTATCGAGTTTCGCTCGATCGCGGCCGAAAGTGAGGAGTCGCCGTCGGTATTTTCAGCCGGGCTCGTGCCGGTCACCGTTTTCGATTTACATGCGCCGTAGGGCGAATCGGACGCGCTCGAATCGCTCGTGTCGCGGGGATTGGCAGACCTGCCGGTGCCCGTAGCAACACGACTCACCCATGATCCTGTGGAGAGACAGGAGCGCCTGTCCCGTCGTCCGCCTGATCGCGGGTGAAACAAGTCCGAGGTTGTCGTGCGTGCGACCGTACGACGCTGCGAGATCGCGCGCGGACGGCTCTATGTAACGCGAGAGCGCCGTGCAGTAGCTGGTCTACCATTGTCCGCGAATTTGGAGTCCTCGGACGTGGAAGGCAAGAGAGGGAAAGAGGAAAAGAGCGTGTGAAGGTGGAGCGTGTTCCGTCACGGAATTCGGCGAGCGTCGTGTCGCGGCGCCAGAGTGACAGACAGGGTAAGAAGCGAGTGAGAGAGAGAGAGAGAGAGAGAGAGAGAGAGAGAGAGAGAGAGAGACAGACAGACAGACAGACAGACAGACAGACAGACAGACAAAGAGAGCGCGTGCCTGTGCCAAAGCCGATCGGGTGTTCCGTTGACACAGTGTGACAGCGGACAGAAGGGAAGAAAGAGTGAGAGATTCTCCGTGCGTGATGAGAGCGCTCGTCGTTGAAGGAAGAGAGGACGAAAGTGGAAAAGTGCGCTTACGCATGAGCGTAGGTGGAGAAAAAGGAGACGTGTGCGCATGGTTCTAGGGGATCTCGCGGTCTCACCGTTGCCTGCCTGAGAATCGACGGACGGACGGACGGACGGGAGGCCCGAGTGCTGCGAATCGAGTCCGCGAGTTGCCGAGTGAAGTTGCGTCGAGTCGTGTCGTATCGTGTCGCGTTGCGCCGCGTCGCGTCGCGTCGCGTCGCGTCGGATCGGTTCGGATCGGATAGCCGGAGTCGAGGCGGAGCAAAGAGAGTGTAAAGTAGGAGCAGTTGGGATTTTGATCGCGCGCGCGCTCGCACGCGGCTTGTTTGTTCGTCGTTTGTACGTACGACACGCGTTCGTTCATTCGTTCGTCGCTCACTCGCTCGCTAGTTAGCTGGCTGGCTGGCTGGCTGGTTGGCGTAATTCGTGTGTGGGTTGGCGGCGCGCGTAATGGAGGTGCCGACGGCCGCGAAATTTGTTCGCGGTACCAGTACCAACACCGGCAGCGACAGCAGTTACATCGCCAACAATAACAACAACAACAACAACAACAACAACAACAACAGCAGCAGTAGGAGCGGCTACAGCACAACCGTGCACGAGAACGACCGCCGCCGCTGTCGCCGCCACGGTAATGCCGTGCGCCGCGTCGTCGCGTGAGCCGCGCGATTCCTGTCGTCGACTGTTCCACCCGGTCGGCCGCCGGGCGAGAGAGGCGGGCCGAAATTGCTATGGGATCGCCCGGACCGACGACGCTCGTCAACGCCGTGACGACCGCTCCGTTCCTTCCGCTGCTGTGACGATCACCACCGGTCGCGCCGGCCGAAGAAGGAGGAGCAGCACCAGCATCGATACGCTTCCTCGACGCGCCGCGACGCACCGCACCCTTCCACGGCGTCCTGCGTATCTATCGTTCCTAAGGTGTAAACATTTGGAGACGGAGTGAGAAAGATAGAAAGGAAAAGAGAGAAAAAGAGACAGAGAGGAAAAGAAAAAGAGAGAGAGAGAGAGAGAGAGAGAACGAGAGCGAGAAGGGGAGAAAGCGAGATTCCGAGCGAGAGAGATAGAGAGAGAGAGAGAGAGAAAGAGGCATAGAGGAAAGAAGAGAGAGAGAGAGAGAAAGAGCGAGAAATAGATCGGCGATAAAGCGAGCGCGGCTCGGCGAGAGGTTAGGCTTGGCACGGGGATTGATCCCCGAGAGATGGCATCGCCCGTCGAACTCTGACAGTCAGCCAGCCCCCTCGGCACATCCCCCGTGCCCCCTCATTCTTCCGCGCCCTACGCGAGTGTACACCGCGTCCGCGCGTGCCCTTTTCCGCTCGCGGAAACTGCGGCGAAGAGTATCGTGTCGTGTCGTGTTCCATCGTGCCGTGCCGTGTCGTGTGTCGTATCATCGTATCCGTCATTTGCGCTTTCCGGAGCACGAGGGTATGCCCTGCACGGAGATCGATGCTCGTCGTTGATATCGAATTGACGTCGTCGTCGTCGTCGTCGTCTAGTCGCGTGGTCGACGCGAGCGTGCAGTGAGGAATCGTGTGACCGCGCCGCGTCTCAGTTGGATCGTATCGATCTCGCGATCGCCGCAACCGTGGATAACAACGGCCGGTACGAGATGCAGAAGCCAGGGCACGTGAGGGATCGTGAGAGCCGCGACAAGGAGCAGCTCGGGGCGCGCAATGACCAAGAGGTCACCAAGAGGCCGTCCAAGGGCAGCGGCAACGCCGGCCGACCGAACGTGCACTCGTCCCGGCACAGCGTCACCTCGTCGTCCGGCGTGCTCATGGTCGGCCCGAACTTCCGGGTCGGCAAGAAAATCGGCTGTGGTAACTTCGGGGAGCTCCGACTCGGTGAGTCGATTCTTCTTCTTTCTTTCTCACACACACACACACACACACACACACACAAAACTCTATACTTAAAAACAGTGTGAACATTGTCTTGGATGTGTTCGACGGCCCGATGAAAATTTAATTTTCGATTTTAATTTCTTCGAATTTAAAATTTGTTTCTGGAAAATTTACAAAAATTCAGTTCTCCCGTCAGGCATTCTCGTCACGTTCCGCATTGCACCGGGAAAAACAATGTTGGAACGGTGTGAAACGCACACGCGTATACAGGTCACCTGTGCACTCTTACTTTTATCATGGGATCGAGCGGAGAATAAACGAGTCGGAGGAACGTTGGTCAGTTTTGTTTATTCAGCGAGGAGAAGAGAGGAGGAAGAGAAGGAGATAGAAAGAGCGAATGTTCCATTTGCGTAAACAGGCATTGACCTTTCGAATTCTCGTATCAGTAGATAACACATCAGCAGCTGCAATTCGAATTCTCATTGACGTTCGATCGCTGCTTCGCGATTGTACGTCCAATTATCGTCCAGGTGTTCGAAAGAATGTTCCTTCTTATTCGGAGGTCCCTCCTTACCGAGAGAGTCAAAGAATTCGTGTTCTATTCTGATAATTGGCGCGTTATCCGACACTGGCGTGGTTCAGCGTGCGACTGAATTTTCGCGACAGACAGTTCTCCGCAGCGATCGCAGTCGTATTTAACGACAATCCAAGCGAAGGTTCATTCGTCGAACGTCAAAGGCGAACGTCTCGTTCCGTCATGACGGAATGTCATTATTTTTCGGGAATCTCGCGGGAGAGCTCGGCGCAAACAATGGTGGAAGAAACCGTGTGGCAGCGTTTTATTATCATCCCCGTTGTAACGTCATTCTTGTATCTACACGAGCAGAAAAAGCCCCGCTCTTGGCTGCGCACAGATAGAGGCGTCCTCGCGGGAAACATCGCGCACCGCGGCGAAAATGCATTTCCGACGTTCCGAGAATGAAGCTGTTTTTCGAGACGAGTGATATTCGCGAGCAATTCCGCGTGGTGGAGCGGCGTGATTCGCTCTCGATGACACGCGACGATATGATTCTTCTCGCGCCCTTCTCTCCGGCTGAAATCCTTTCGACATTTCGCGGGCGGATCTTGCAACGGTGGCGAACGCGCGCGGAATTTTTCCTGCGAATCTCTCGATCAAAGTTTCGGTTCCCGCAAAAATTGGCACGTCGCGCTTGCCGTCGCGCTCCGTTTTCCCGGAAAACCGCTCGGAATCCAACCGTGATTAATCTAACTCTCTCCTACCGTACTACTTGTCGCAATCTCTATTCTTATGAACGTTGTACATGTATATGAAATTAGAAATTATCAGTCCCTCGAGACGCGCGCGATGTCTGCCGCGGGCTGAAAACAATGACTCTAACATCGGCAGGCTAACGCTCTCGATTATCGCGGCAGTGGCATAATACAAAGTGCTTCCACATACTGACGCTACTGTATGTAGGCCGGAAGTCCGCAAATATTGATGCTCCTTCTACGGCTGAGAGTGATCGTTGAGAGAGCACGCGGATCACCCGGCCGAGATGAGGAAAAATCAGCCGCTCCTCCGACTCGTCAGTCGCGCGGCTGATTTTCCACCGAATTTCTCGGAACCAAAGTTAGTATCTCGAGTGGGCGATTTACGCACATTACATATACGTACGCACATAAAAATAAAAAAAATACACACACATCTATATATATATATATATATAATATCCTCGAATGTGCTCGCTCGCGCGCATACGAACAATTTGCGGAAACCTGTTTCGCACTTCCTCGGCATCAAAGGTTGTTTCCTCGCGAAGGCCCTCGTGCTCTCGCTCAGGAAAGATGCCGGTTTCTCAACGGGGAGAAATCTTTTGCCGAGCTGACGAAACGTCAGGCTGACGCGGCGAGAACGCGGCTTCGCAGCTTTGCGATGCGCTTAGATACGTCTCTCCTCGCAACGTTAATATCGCACTCGAAACGAAATGCTCGGGCAGGCATCGCGTTTTCTATGTAATGACCGGCACCGCCGCCGCCACTGTTGCGAGAGCGGCCATGCGGAAAATTCTGCAATGTTGCGCTCTTTGTAGAGTTTACACGAGCCGCGACTTCGCTAACGCGTTATTACTAACCGTGATCGTAACGACGGCGTCGACTTTGTTAGTTGTAAACCGCTCGGGGTGTAACAACCTGCTCGATGTGCTGCCATCGGACGTTCTTTATCGCACTGCCGTTTGTTCATTATTACATCGTTCGCGACAAATTGGTGATTATTTTTGCTCGCCGGCTGGTCTGTTTCCTCGTGTCTGTAAAAATAGCTGAACTCACACATTTTATACACGTATACACACACACACACACACACACACACACACACACACGCGCGCGCGCGCGCGCGCATTGCGAGAGAATAAAAGTAATCGAGCGCCTTAATTACCCGGAGGAATATTTATTTCCCACGGACACGAGGAGGAAACGATTTCGTATTTCTCGATGAAATGCCCCGTGGCATCGAATGAGAGAATTTCCAGAAACTGCTCTTATGATTCATCTTCGAGTGCTCACTCACGGGTGAATACCCGAATACCCGTTCTTTCGCTGGATGGCCTCTTAAAATGCCCCTTGCGACTCGTGAGACTGCAGCTGGCTGGAATTGAAAAATATACCTGAGCCGAAATTTTGGTTCTACATTAACTCTGTTGCTCCCATCGAATTTTAAGCAGTAGCCGAGGGTCTAAAGAGGTACTACCTGACTTTACAGGTCACTGCTCTTTCATGCTAACAGTGCTCATTTCTTTTTCTTTTCTTTTTTTTTTAATTGGAATTAAAAATAAAGATTAAATGCGAGTGGAATATATCGAAGTGATTGGATGTTGAATAATTGATGAATGAATCCAAGTCTCAGCGCGAAGAAAGCGACAGTAAATAATTGATCCCCTCCAGATTTGACAGAATTTGCAGGATCAGCGTGGAACCAACATCTCGACTGTCATTAAAAATATTTGGTCATTTAAAATATTTGGTTGGAGGTAATAAAGTTTAGAGCAAATCCTTCTCGCAGAGAATTTTATTTCGCGCTTTTTCGAACGGCTGTCTATTTACCGAGAGAGGCAGAGAGAGAAAGAGAGAGAGAGAAGGGAAGAGACGGTATTCCGACATATCTATTTCTATAAAGCACGAAAACTGACACTCGCGTAGCGAATTTCGTGACACCTGATACGCCGTTGATAACAACGTGAGTCATTGATAATTTTAAACCGCCTTACCGCGCATCGTTGCATACATCGTATCTCATGCTCACGTTCGCGCCGTCGTTGATAGTGCATTAATCTAGCGCATTAATCTTAAATCAAGCCAAAGTCGACTTCTCCCGTCGACTGTGTGCGCTTACGCGACGTGTACGTTTATTAAACAGTCGCGAGCGCTTCTTCGTCGAGAGGGAGGATTTCACATCAGCACCCGCGCGTCTCTTGATGAGCTTGGCCGCTGCTAGATGAATAATTAAGCGCGGCGTGACGCAACGAGAAGAAAATCGCCGATCGTAACTAGCGATTGCGTCGAATTACGCTCCTCTCTCTCTCTCTCCCTCTCTTTCTCGCGTTTCTTCCTTTTAAACGCTGGAACGAGCGCATCTGTGTCAACAGAAATGCAGAAAGTGCGAGAAATGGCGGGGTGAGACGAGCGGAAACCTGTGTTAAGAGACACGCACACACGGCGACAAGGCGAGCAGTGACGGGAACGCGTTTGTCGAACAACGTGCTCGATACCGAGAGGATGAATCGGAGCCCTTCATCGCGGCTTGACCCCGGGCTGCCTCCCCCCCCCCCCCCCGCGGCTATGAGAGACACGCGTGTGTCGTTAATGTCGTTATGCACGCGTTATCAGTTTATCGCCTATCTTGTACTTGTTTTGTCGCGCTCTCGCGAGGGTCATAAATGCGTTTACCAGAGGGAGAGAGAGAGGGAGAGGAGCGGGCAATTGACTCGCCGCGCGATGGAGTATAAATCCGGCTAAAATTGTCGGTAAATTGCCTTCCGGGCTTGCCGTACGTCGCCTCGGCCGAGACGGCGGCTCGGAATCGTACTTTGGCTGACCTGATTTCGCGGGTCAGCTGTGACCCCGGATTCTTGTAAGACATGTTCAGCGGGAAATGCCGAGGACGCGGGTTGTTTGCCGATAAACCTCTTAAGAACTCGTCGGGAACTTGGTCTCAGCAGCGGGGGCGAATCATCCGAAAACAAACAAAGCGAGAACCAAACGGTACATATGGCCGACAATCGTTTAGCTCCGCGCGTGAGACGCGAAATCGAGTGACTTTTCGGTAGCCAATTTTCGCGCGCGCGTTCTCGTCATATTCGAACGTCGAGCACTTCGGGCAGTTTCTCCGACATTCGCTTTGCTAGCGGAAGAGATGATTTCGTGCGGATTTGAATCTCGTGCCCGTGTCGGTTCTCCCGGTTGCTATATACATTGTTTTTCTCGCTCGTGCAGGCTCGTATATCGATTCGCAGCGCGGCCCGATTAATCTTCAAGGGCTTAAAATGTCGTGCGGTAGGAACGCGACACTTCCTTGGCTGCATGCGAGAAAAAAAGACGCGATTGTATGTGTGATTCGGTGTATAGTAAATTTAAATGTATGATAGGCCTCTCTCTCTCTCTCTCTCCCCCTCTCTCTCTTCCCCACGCTCCTCTCTCCTTGCTGTACGTCACTCCAATCTTCCTGCGTGGCAACCGAGACTACGTGTTCGAGGACAGGAAGTACGAAATTCCAAACCGTAGCCCACAGAACGGCGCACGTAAAGACCGACCTTCCGGTCCTACCTGAGGGGGTCGATCGCACTCTCCCGTCGCTTCGTTCCCACGGTCACGTTCGACGAGAATTGATCGGCTCTTCTGAGAGGAGTGTACTCCGATTCGCCCTTCTCGTCGGTCCTTATTCCCGCAGCCGAGGAGTGCGTTCGCACGGACTGCTGGTCGCGACGTAATCCCAGCCTTTA